GCCAGCGCTAATTGTAGTCAGCAACATAACGTTGTCGTTACTGCGCATGCGATAAATCTCCAAGAATCTTGGAGATTTCATCGTATTTTACCAGGGTCTTCCTCAGCTCGCGCGCCACCACGAGGAAGACCCTGGGGACGAGGTTGCTCGTCGCCTCCACCCACCATGCCTTAAAACTCGCCTGACACCAGAAAACATCTGCCCCCAGGGTACCTCTTCTAATAATCAAAATTATGTATTAAAAAAGAATTCATCAGTTCTGATTGCCTAACAGCCAACTGTGAAATCGTCATATCAATCCAATAGCTGACCAAGCAGTGATGTAGTGAAATAATATCCTTTAACCTCATTAGAATCACTCCTTCGCTTGTTCCCATTCGCTGCCTCTTCAGGTTAGCCACCAAAAATAGTAAAAGGCTAGGTTGCACGGCACGTGGAGGCTGATTACAGGGCCATAACCATTTCTTTGCGCGCCAAAATATTTAATTTATAATCTATTAATGAACGTTTGCTTTCTTACAGCTAAACAAAGTATCGATTGAGCAGCCGACTGTGAGGGAAAAAATCAGCGTCCCAGAAAGGTAATTTATATATACTATTCATTATATAAATAAAACACGGGCACATACATGAGGAACACATTACCACCAGTTCACAAGTAGAATTATCGTTTTATCTTCTACATCATGATTTATTGATTTAGTGCTAATGAGGAAAGATACACACGTGCACCAACGCTACCGATGAAAGATTATCCAGACGTGATTATACAAACACCGGAAAGAAGAAAACAGAGAACTAAAAAGGCAAAAACACCTAAAGTATCGAAAACAGAGGTCGAGGTAAGTCCATGTGGACTTAGTATCTATCAATGTAAGATTAGCTCCGTAGATCGAATAGACAGAATTTGCTTGCGCTCCTATCCAATACAACCTTTCGGAAAGTATGTCACTTTGCCTATAGAGCTTCGTTTTCGTATATGCGACATTAGTTAAAGCTGATGTGTCAATCACGAAAACGAGGTTCTATAGCCAAGATGGCGTACTTTCGGGAAGCGTGTATTCAGAACTTTCCATATGGATTTGGAAATAGATTACAGTAGTTTACAAGAGCATGGAGTAGAAGAAAGATGACACATGGATAATTCTCAGTTTATAATTTCGATCACAAATTAATTAGCATTAGTGCATTACGGCATGTGAATCAAAATTAAAGAGTGAGTGGAATAACTCACGAGTTATTACCACAACCAATCTTTATGGTCAAAGACTATTTGAAAGCATACCACATCAATTATAGCAACCATGTTGCTTTAAATAGGGATGATGGTACGTTTCATTACGTCTTTAGATTAGTCTTTAAACTATAGACTGTATAATATCACAAGATTGGGCCATCAATGTAATTTGTCTAGAAATAACATTCACCTACTTTATACCAATTAGCGATAAAGGAATGATACGATGCCCTGCAGTTACCAGAACATTGGCAATGATTAATTATTTTAACGACATCGTTATAGAATCCAGCCACAGTCCCAGCTGCCCCGGCTGCTGAATTTGAAAACATCACCCGTATGAGCTTTGATAGTCCTTCAAACATCGCCATTGATGACATTCCTCTTCGATTACGACCTGCGGTGAGGCAAGAGACCGAACCACAGAAACCAGCTGGTAAAGATATGGTCGAGGATTCAGGTGTCCCTCGCTCGTGGATCGAGAGTAAAAACAGAGTGGACTTGAAGAGTAAGAAAGGTGATAGCAAGGAGGAAGAAAAGATGGCAACTGATGCATCCAGTGGTAATACACGCACACATGCGGCAGAACTTGATGACGCTGACTCGGATGATACCATACAAATTAAGGTTTGTTCTCATGATTGATTTTATGAGGCAAGATTTTTGTATATCACGTATGTGCGATGAAAAGCGTTCAAAACCTAAAATATTTATATATACATATCTCAAAATTATTTTTGTTTAACTTTATTTTCTAGTTTGTACACTACAGTTAGCTACCTTTTTGAATGCATCATAAGATTGGAGTAAAAATTGACAATTAAAATACATTATCAGTGAAGTTTTGAATTGATGCCATATTTATAGCAAAACATAGGGAACTTCATACTCTTGCGTGGCGGAATCTCTTTATTTTACTATTATTTAACAGATAAAGAACTAAGCATAGCATTTTAAAGCTTGTTTTCCAATTTACAAACATATAAAAAAATACAAATTTTGAATCTAGTCATACCCAAGTGGTATAAATATCATACAAGAAATCTACTCTTAACAATATTAATAAAAAATCAGTTGTGGAAGCTTTTGCCTTTATGTCTCAAACAACTGGAGTATCTCAAAAACGAAGAATAATATCGAGGGTGAAAATGCATGCACTACTGAACTATTAATGTTTACTTCCGATTTATTTTCATTGGTGGGTAGGTGAACATAGAAAAATGGAGAAACAAAATGAGACAACGGGAGAAAAGAAAGGAACGTGGCGAAGTAAGAAAACGCAAGGAACAGGATAAACTGATCGCGGTGGAAGAGAAGAAACTGTCAAGGCGTGAATGGCTTATGGCACAACCTGAGGTAAGTGAACATATCTTCAGTGGACTTCAGTGGACAGTGAGACATATTTAGTGGGTACTCCTCTAAAAGTACAATATACTTTTTAGATTCAAGCAATTTTGGATGGCGAAGATTTGTCAAGACCTACTTCATTGTAAGTTCATATGTATTTTGTTGTCACAGCAGGTTCAATTACGCTTGGATAATCAAGTTAACTTCGTAACTGTGCGCTCTTCTTCCATTTCACAAATAAGGATCACACTAAGTCTACTCGAGTGTTTGGGTTTAACCATAAGCCGTTCGATATATGTTGCGGTCATAGTTCTTCGTCACATCAAAATAATCCATAATTGTCCAGCTAAAATCGCCAGACTCCACTATACAGGTTGTTGTGATTCGTAGTAGTATACAACCAATCATTACATCTCGGCTCGCGTCAGGTTGTAAGGATGACGGTTATCGGTTTGTTGGTTGGTTTGGTTATTTTGCGCTCCGTCCAACTAGCGAAAGTAAACTTTAAGGTTCTTTTCCACTCATTGCAAAAATGAATTCGCAAGCTTGCTGCGAGTGCTTGCATCTAATTAACATAAATTGTCGAACATTGCGATTGGATGAAACCCCTCGCAGCGTCGATTCTTGCGATGAAAAGAAAATAGGCTAAATAGACAAAAAATAAATAGACTGAAATTGTATATGGCTCGTGGTGTGACGTTTCTCTTCAGTCGCGTTTATAGATACCTTAAATTAGGCCACGTTTACATGAGACAGGGACGATTTCTTTTAGGTCATAGTGATATTTATAATAGATGTTTATATAAGACTGGGACGAAAAATTGCTCAGATCGGTCTGAAGTCATCCCAGTCGCCGAACCAAACCGACTACCTTAAGACCGGGATAGATGCAAACACAAATACATTTCAGACCGGTCTCAGTTGTGTTTTTGGCTTCGGAACAATACTGACATATGCTCGCAAAAGCACTGTAAACAAAGAAAATGGCAGGCAAGGCCAAGGGGAATAAATTGAAAGATTTGTGATTTTCGTACCGGTCTCATGTGAACATACTGAAAATTTCAATTTTCATCCCGGTTTGCCTTCGTCCCGCTCTCGGGGCCTTGTCTAGATATCTGATCTCTCTGGAATTTGTTCAAAATCAATGCCAATAAAACGTTTTTGTTTATCTGTTCCTAATTCCATCAAGGCCATGAGCATGTTCGAGCTCACTCGAGAGGAAAGCAGTACTCATTCGTTACTTTAACGGCACTTTCGATAACATTTACTTTTCAACACTTTTGATAATGCCGGGCTGCCTCATGCAGCCCCATATGTTGACATAAGTTACGCACACGTAGTAGACTATTAAGACCGTTATATTGTTGTTTAGAAGAAAAAAGAAACACCGCCGAGAGCGTTGGCGTGAGTCCAGAAAACATCCTGACAGCGACAGTGATGATGAGGTATTAAAATAACGATAAAAAATATTGTTAACGTCTTCTACAGCAGAACAATCAACTTATTCTTACTCAAGTTGTCTGTCTCAAGGCAAATTGATTTTTGTCGTGGGGGTAAGCCCTTATGGTGAAGCCTAGTCAAAATGAACCTCTTTATGGTCCATGAATCCAACAGTCCTGACTAAACATCATGCATTGGTGAAATACTTATTTTTCAAACCTTATGGGTAAAATAATAATAAGATTGATCCAAATTGAAAATCTTTATTCTTATTGTGAAACAAACAATATAAAATATTGGTCAAGAATTGGTTCTTCATACTCAAAGAAATTCAGTAAAGGCCAGCCTTGACCATGCATCAACATTTTTATATTGATATTTCATGTAATATCATTCATTTTTGTCAACACGATCTCAAATGCTTATAATTTAAAAAGCAGGAATGAATTTCAAGTTTATTCTACTCCAAAAGACGGGACGTACAGTAAAACCGGTAGGATCCAAAAAAGTCGATTCTTTATAAACTATATCACAATTCCATATCATCACACGGACTGTCTGTAGCTCGCTAAATATCGTAGTCGTGGTCACAGCTTTAGATGATTCTCCATTAACGCTAAAGATAAATCGCATGTGTCTCGGTCTTAACCTTTTCTTGTGATGTATTACAGGTCACGGCTGTTCCAGTAAGACGACATCACCGCCGACGATGGCCGCAGAGATCAGCACGTCGAGTATATCCATCTGAACATGATGGTGTCCGTTTGATCGCTGTTCGACCAAAGAAGGTGTGGAAGCACTTATCTTGTTAATATGTATTAGCGGTCGTGAAGTTCTTCTATAGCTTCTGTTAATTCTACTGCGTGCCTTGCGCTAGATCATAGATTTTTTGGCATCATCACCAAGTTTTTACTTTATTATAACCAAGTTTTAATTGAAGAATTATTCGTTCCGCAGTTCAGTAATTTATCCCGAGTTAGAAACACTTTGTGCATGTTCAAATGCTGTTATATCTCTTAGCTTCTGGGTAAAAATCTTTAATATTTTTTTGTCATTAGAATAATTGCTATACAGTATCCATGATTCTCTACCCAATAAAACTACCCAACAGTTTACCATCCTGGCTTACAATTGCAATTTAGTATAGAAAACCTTTTTATGAAAACATTTTGCGTAAATAACATGGTCAAAAAGGAACAATGGTTTTCCTCCATTGAAATATTTTTTGCATCGAATACGAAGCGAATTCGTTTTTTTAATTAGGTTTTTGGGACAATATCACAAAAAAATGCATTGCTCCTTAGCCAAGCGGAATTGTTCATGTATATTATTACTTTTTACAGCCAAGAGTATATGCATTCGAAGATTCTGGGCCTGAACGAGAATTTGAACCGAGGTACATAGTGCCCGAGGACAGCAGTACTCCCTTGCAAGGAACATCAGAGCCAGTGATCCCTGAAGCTGTGCAGTTCAGGGAAGAATATAATTATTCACCGGATAGTGTGTACGATGGTAAGTATAGAACAAAGTCTAGTTATTTTAGGGGAGTACAATTAAGGGTCAACAATACCAGTGATATTTGACCAAATTTCGCAAGATTTTAATCCCATACGACTCTTTAAAACTTTGGTAAAACAAGAAATACTATTCTGAGTACCCACTGCGTTCATTTACGAATTGTAGTTAAGACAAAATATAAAGGTTTCCGGCAGGAGGAGTATTAAAGACGCACAAACCTTTGAAATGAAGTGGCCGGAATTAATAGAATTTCCATTGTTTCTAGGATTTTTCTGGCATGGATTCCGTGACACCTGCGCACCATTTCCTAATAACATATCCCTCCTACTGATACTTTGAACTTGAGGGAATGGTGTGACTGCTGCTAATACTCCATCGTGTATTAACATTTCTTAATTTTCAATTTAGAAGAATTTTACGACCCCTACGTTCCAGAATACGGTGAACCACGTTACTATCAACCCCCAACAACAGGATACGTAATAACACATGCTCCTGTAACATTAGAACAACAGCTACCTTTAAGATTGCAGGAGACATCGTTTACTGGAACACCTCACAGACCACAGCGACCGATTGGTCCCAGAAAAGCAACTCGAGGAATGTATTTTGAACAACAGCCACCAAGGCCGTCGAATTTATATTCTCGTGCGAGAAAATCTCCAGGTGGAGCTAAAAGTGATACAATAACAGACAAAACTGGACAGACGTCAAGCAGGAATGCTCCTCCTGGCGAAAACACTACACCACGTACAACTACTGATAACGTACATACACCAAGTCCGGAAAAAAGTGTGAACGCCTCAAGCCACAGTGATATTTCGCCTGGTAGATCGTGGGAATCTAAAACTGAAGAAGACTTTAAGAACTATAGTATGAACGAGAGTGAAGCAAGAAAGTTGGTTTCCCGCGTGTTAGACAGAGCGAAAGGCGAGGCTGATCGAAGTTAAATCTAAACGAAAGCGATTACAAATACTGTATATACGTTAGCATCCTTAAAGCCTGGTTCACACTGGTCGTATTTCATCGGCGATCTATTGTATTCTTTTACGATAGACAAAGCATTTTACACACCAATGACCACAGGTAAAATCCCCGATTCTTACGACCAGTGTGAATCAGGCATAACATCTACGTAACCGAAACGAAATTTGCACCCAGACTAGTAGTATGATTTGTGATTCATCCGATGGAATGTTCGCCCGTACTCGTAGTAGTTAGTGATGTTGGAATCAATAAATCCAAAAGGACACTGTCAGCTGTATTTTACCACAAATTTTTAAATCTGTAACGTTGACATCAATCAACCTAAAGGCTTCATTTATTCATTATGGTGCACTATATTGGTGTATGCGAGAAAATCTGTACAGGCTTTTCAAACCCTTCCGAAAACTGCCTGTGGTAAGCTACAAATTGAACAATTCTCATTAAATGTACAGTACTTACAACAGTACACGTACAGAATGGACAATTAGAACATTCTAATACTTCAAAAATTAGTATTTATTTAATATTTATTTATCTTAAAAGGGCCATTATGTAAACTACTGGGCCACCAGTAATCAAGTTTTTCTTCTCTTATACATTACATTAGAAACATTCAAGTCAAACCATATTATGGCAAAGTATATACATGTACTGCAACACAAAAGAATATGAATAACTGGAGAATATAATAAAGAATATAAAATAACAATTCTATTAATAGCTGGTCACCATTAATTGGTCACCATATGTAACAATTTTTATAATTGATAAATAATAAAAATATTGTACATATTTTTAATTAAATTAATACGTCTATATATTTTAAATAATATAAAAATTATGCGATAAATTAGTTGTTCACTTTCCATCTTAGTAAATGTTGATTTGTTATTGTATGTGCTTTCTTAATGAATTTTTATAACGACGTTGTCATTGAACCAGTGAAGGGAAATATCTTACAAACTCCCTTTCACAAAAGGCTTTTCATATGGTACAAGTCAGGCTGGTTTGCTAGTACCAGGTCAAGGATTATCTTGTTTTATATTTTTTCTGGATTATACTCACATGTGTGTCGTGATCGCCACATATCACATTACCGGGGTCATATGAAACTATCAGGCGGCCAGTTCGGGTTAGCGGGGCTGGGATACATGAAATCGTGTTTCATATACCTACGATACCATTAGACAGATGCACATTGGGGGGGGGGGAGAAGATGAGGGGGGTATTACAATCGCCCCGCGGCACATTCTCTATATGTTATAGTCTTGCAATTTTTGCTACGATTTCTAGTCCGATTTTCTTCTTCTGATGCATGTGAATATGTATGTGTAAGCTGAGTCATGAATAAATGAGTATAATATGAACCCTCCTATGAACATTCAGTGAGTTATCCACTCATTCACATCCACCAGAAGAAGAACATCGCACCTTAAATCGCAGCAAAAATTGCAAGGATTATATTTTGTACCTGCGTTGCTCAAACAGAAGTGATCATTTTTTGTGACTTGTTCTTTAGAACGTTTATGTTCTTTAGTTTCATTGTATTTCATAGATATAAAAGCTGTTCAGACACTGTAGGTTGTTGGCGACTCAAACGCCCACAGAGATTTCATACTGACGTATTTTTGCTAGGAACAACGCGACAGAATGAGCTTTGACTGGTATATGCATAATGTATACGCATGGGTTACCTATGTTGTTCTTACGAGATCTTCTTTACAGGAATAGTAACTGTCAGCATCTGAAATAGAAAGACGTGTGTTATTCAACAGTTATAGGATCACTCCCCCTATCTACATGCAGGTGTTACAGATCTACAATGTAAAAAATACATAATACCATTACTAAAGCCTGGCTTACACTAGCAAAGTTTCTCTGATCACAGTCCGTAGAAATTTTGCATACCAGGTAAATTCTATGTTTTGAAGATACATTTTTTCAATTTTTAATATGCTGTACTAAAGCAAAAAATACACGAAGTCACGAACAAATACAAAAAGGAAGAAGATACTGAAAAACTACTATAGAAAAGATAATAACTTGGGGGTGTCCAGATTAATAAAGCCGAAATGACAGAGTCGAAACAGGATGGAAAATTAATTTAACTGGAAATCAAACCAAGGTCTTTAATTTAAATGACAAGTACTTTGAGCAATTCAAAATATGAATACACTATAACAAGTTATACCAATCCATACATACATTTATAAAGATGTCAGCAGACCACAGCATGCAATAATAGCATTGTTTGTATAGTTCTCAAAAGTGAACGTAGAATTATTCTTACCAAAAACTATGGATATACTTTCTCTCATGTCATTCAGAAATGCGACTATACATCCCTAACGTCGTGAAATCGACATATTGGGAATGAAAACGTGTGATTGGTCGGCGTGAAATTATGATGAGATTACTGTAGCTAATAATAGTTTTATATCACGATTTTTGGGCATTTCTCGATATAACTAATTGTTGAAGGGATTTGTAAATGGAAATTTCGAGTCGAATTGTTATACATTTATTAGTTCTAATTGTTATACATTTATTAGTTCAACCTGCGGGCTTGCAATTCCGGTGCAGCGCTCTAACCAACTGAGCTACAGAGAGAGAGAGAGACAGTTACCGAGCTTTTGATCTCTATAGTGGGCCTTCGGTGACACAGTGGTCCGAGCAAGCGCCTTTCACCTCTGAGATCGTGGGTTCGATTCTCGGACGGACTCGTGCGAAAAGAGTCAGTCAACACTCTGCCGAAAGTCGTTTTCTCCAGGTACTCCGGTTTCCTCTCACAGGAAAGTTGACAGTGTGGGTTAGGATAAACACAGTTAAGAAAGTAATATCGCAATTGTTGTGAAATAGTCTAGGCTGAGTATGTAATTAGGTAAGCGTATAATTAACACTTATTTACTGAGACCGAAGGAAACAGTGTGTTTTGTGGACCCGAGACCGTCGACATCGACGGTCGAGGGTCCACAAAACACACTGCTTTCCCGAGGTCTCAGTAAATAAGTGTTTTATTATATATCAATAGACAGTCAAAGAAACAACAAATTAAAGAACAAATGAACGTAAATACATGAAATATTTTATTGTTAAAACGTTACACTGCAGTTACTTAAAGCGAAAGTTTTAATTACGTACTAGGCATGTCCAAACCAAAGGTCGCATCTTCACGTGATGGCGCACGTGATATTTTTTGTTATTCGCCGGTTAACTAACGTATTATCTCCCTCTCGCGCTGTTGCAAGGGAGACAGCCTAATTTCGTCACTCTCACGTGATATGCTCTCAACCAATAAAACACTAGAAAAATGCGACTTTGACTATTGATATTTATTATATACACAAGGTCTGGATAGGAGGTATTCTGCAATCTGATTGGTTCTCTACTAGCAGGATATTAGCTCATATCCTGCTAGTAGAGAAAAACAAAATGGCGGCCAAACTGAATTTACGATGTTTTGCAAACGAGAAAACGGCAAGTTGTCGCTTTTTATAACCTTTACAGGATTAAAAACACAATGAAAAAACTCCCACAATTTGTTTTCAGGTTAGCAAATAAATTTTTAAAATTTAAAATGGTTAAAAACATATATTTTTGAAAAAATAATCGACCGAAAGAGCGCGAAGATAAAAACATAAACAAAATGGAAAAATATTGAAAATATCCGAAAAGCAAAGTCTGTGAATTTAGACCTTGTGTATATAATAATTAAAAACAGTTATTCCACTCACTCTCGTCGAACATGAGCGATAGCCGATTCGGCGCCACGCGCCTCATCGGCTATCAGCTCATATTCGACTCGAGTTCGCAGAATAACTGTTAAATAATAATACTTGATGTAAAGCGCATTTGATCATATCCTGATCCACATGTAAATTTGCGCTACAGAAATGTCAATATTAATCTTACATTTCAGCAATAATCGGCGTAGGATGTAGCCACATTTTGAGACACTATTTTTTTCGGGTGAGAACGGAAGCATCCAGGTTTTTGGTAATAGTAAGAGAGTTTATAAGATTTACAATGCAGTAAACTCAACGACGCATTCTCATTTTCGGCTTAAGTATGAGTGTTATACATGCAATTGGAATGGAAGCTTGTTGAAATATGCTTAACGATCTGTGTATAAGAATCTAGATTTTAAGAACCTATTAGGCTAAAATTTCTTATTAAGACCTCCTTTATATAAGAATCTGTTTAGGCAAAATTTCAAACAGGTTCTTATTTTATTTTTATCACTCCAAGGGTTGATACTAAAAATTTATAAATCAAAGAAAATAAACTGTTCACAAAGTAATGAAAATGACCCAGAAGTCCGAGTCCTGGATATGTCATCACAATAAACAGCATGTCTGTTTGAACACATCATCAAAAATACTGTATTCTGTACCTACACCAACCGAAATTGAGTCGCTTTTTCTTTAGAAAATAAGAACCTATATTTAAGAACCTGTTTAGCCTAATTAATTTCACGATAAACACCATTTATTATAAGAACCTGTTTAGGCTGACTTGAAAAATCTAGGTTCTTATACGCGGAGTTTTACTGTGTAAGTAAAATAACTAGGAATATATAAAAAAATATGCGAGATATCTTTCAAGATTTTAACACCACTTAGTTCCCACTCCGTTTTGTTACTTTCACGGCCACGAAAATGGACGTCTAAGAATGACAACGTAAACAAAAGCTCGCAATGCATTGTGGTTGGCGACGATTCTAACTAAAACTTTTCAGATCGCAACAAGCTGTTGCTGGAAGACAATTAGGGATTTAACAATGTGTTGAGAATGATAGCGCTGGTTAGGAATTATATTGATCATATTTTTGGTCACCACCCAAGAATTTCATTGTGTCGAAGGCACCTGGCGCGATGTTGAGTACGGCTTCAGAGATTTTAAACTTTTACTAATTCGTGATGCCCAAATGGAGTCGAAATACTTGCAGCAATATTCAGAAGGAGTGTTACAGTATTTCAAAATTTGATAAATCAAAATTAGTCTACATGCATGTACATACCTTAGTTTTCCTGTTATATTGCGCACCACCAGATTCGTAATCCACAAGGTGAGGGAAAGTTAAATCAAGATGGTAATTCTTTTCAGGAACATCAAGAATAAGACGATCATCCCCAACGTCTAATATTGTACCGCTCATAGATTTCTACAAACGAAACATCATATATCATTAGTGTACTATATATAGTGGTCCAAGAATATTATACAGATAGACTTTTCCGAATGGATTTACTCAGGGTGCGAAAAGTTGCGTACTTACGCCAATATTACGGTCTGGTACTTACAGTATGTATGCGGAACTCTTGCTATCTGCGTACTTAATTTTTTGTTGGTACCATATGACCTTTCCAAGCCCAAGTTATTAAAAAATATAATTTCGTCGGAATAAGTCTGGCATGACTTGGCATTACACGTGATTGGACTGATGGGATGAGATGGGACTAAGGAATACTAGAGTCGATTGTAGTGTTGGACTTATTACCTAAATAATGAACAAAATTTTGATCTATACAAGTCTAGACGTTATATTTCATTGAAATTTGACGTTATCTAGACGTTATTTCATTGAAATTTGCTCAGCGTGCATATGACTTTTTCAGAAACTGTGAAACAGGTAATAACAAGTGTGCGAAAGTACAATACAAAAGCACATCCCATGAAGAAATCTCTACACCCAGGCTCCCAATACTCATATATCATGCAGACTAAAACGAAGTATGAACTGCATGTTAGCGTGCGACCGTGTTGGAAATCTTTTTAGTTTCTCTCGCAGGTCTTAAAAGTTAAAAATGGAACACCGCTACACAATCAATGTTTTTAACTGTATTTGCAGGGGCCTATTTTAGTGATAGGCCGATACCGAATATTCGATCCCGTCGATACCAAGATCTGAAAAAAAAGTATTCGATACTGTCAAAAAATATCGATTGTTTCGATACTGCTGAGCCTGTGATTTTACGTCATTTGATCAGCGGATGCTACAAATACGGAACCCGTGCCAATCGTGTGTACAATACAAAACGTAGCATAGTGTTTTGAAACTAGAAATAAAATCTGAGTTGGTTGCAATTTTAATATAATTTTAATTAAGTATTTATGTACTTCATTTTCTAAAGAGTCACCTACTGGTCTATGATTTATCATACTTTGTCCACGTATATCCGTATATCGCAGAAATATCGATATCGAAAAACAAGACAAATATCGAAGCAATATCGTATGGAATTAAAGAAGTGGGTATCGCCCATCACTAGCCTATTGCATCAAAATCTTAACTACTTTACAGACTCGAACGTTCGGTGTCATTGTAGGTAGCAACGATAACAGATATACAGTATAACAGCGGTGTGTCTGTGAGGGAGATTACCCAAAAATTAAACAGATCTTCGACGTTTCGCGATAGCCCAACTGTCAGAGCGAGGTAAATAAATGAAGCATACATGTCTAGTTTAAACATGGCATAATTCTTACCACTCCAGGTAAAGAAACCTCCACAATGACATATTCAGCAACACCTGTTGATGGTTCCAGTAACATCTTGTAAGAAGGTTGACAAGTAGGTGCACTTTCAATTTTAGATGGTGCTGGTGGAAGATGTCTAGTCGATACTAAATAAGGTAAATACAGAAGGAAATTATGTTCATTGTACATGATCATGTTTCACTATTTATTCTTTATACTGCAGTAAGATTTGTTGTGAAGTTTCTCACTTACTCTCTGCCTTTTTGTTGGATAAGTACCCAGTCACATGTTTCCTATACGTAACACTTAATTAAAAGCCCATTTTATAGTGGAGGTTTTTCTCGTTTCAATTGCAATTTTATTGTAGTCGTATTGTTGAAATATCGTAGAACTGATCATTGGTAGCAAACGGAGACAGGGGATGTAAACGAGACAGAGAAACAATTCCCAGACGGGGCTCAAAATAACGGCCGGTCAACAGACAATGAACGGCCAAAAATGCCTCTTGACCGGTCACTTTTTTACCTCACCGGTCATTTTGGCCGGCCACATTATCATGCCTTCCAACGTGATTGCTGACGTCTTGAATTAAAACATGAAACTATCATGATGTTTCACTGTTAGTGTAAGCGTATCAATGACCGATCAAAAACATATTTTGACCTAGCTAAGTTGATCGGAGACCTATCTTCCGTTATTTTGAGCTCTGACAGATAATACACGTGCTCAAAGTGATTGAAGCTGCAATCGTTATAGTGAATACCCTGCCCTACTTTCCCATACTTTCTCTCTCTCACTTGAATTTGCTTACTAAGAATTTATCAAATTAAATTAATATAGCTGCTGCGATGGGATATCATTATCATTTTGTCATTGCCTTCAATTGATGACTTGAATGTCAAAGTGGAAGTGGAATATTTTTTCTTATATTTAATATTCCTACCTTAAAAAAATCATATTCTTACCATCAATATTTCATATTCACAAATTATTGTTTCAAATATTGATAGGTCTATTCTTAATATTCATATTCCTACCATCAACATTCTTATTCACACTACTTTAAAACCCAATGTTCAATATACAACTTCCACCAGTGTATATTTATACGTATTACAGTGGGGTGCAAAACCAAGATTAGGGCCCAGTATGGGCTCGCCAGAGTAAGATATTGGCCACTCAGGGTATGTAATATAACATGTGATTCATGATTTTTTATATTAAATGCATTCAAGAATGGATACGATTCACAAGCTTGTCCTACCAGCCATTATAAAAATGATATACAGTAAATTCAAGATCACAAAACATATCGTGATTCATGAACTATATACACATTTACTAACCTTCACTTAATCCAATCTCGCTAACTTGATCCATTTCCTGAATGACTGGCTTGCTTCTTTTTCGTATTTTATGTCGATTTATGTCACCGACACATTTCTTGTTCTTTAGGATCACCCAAGCGCGAGACAAAGTTGTATTGTATTTACTTTCAATTCCTTCATATACAACTGTCATGAAAAATCCCATGAAGAAATTGTTCTGCTGTATTTTAGAAAGGAAGCTATCATTGATGACAACATCGTAGACAGTACAACCTAGAAAGTAAAATGTAGGTGGGGATATTTAATTTATTTTCATTAATATGCACAACCATTTGAAGGGGGATTTTTAGAATAGCAGGGGGAGTAGTGCACCACAAATGGCGAATAATGAGGGGGAGGGGAGCAATCCTCCTCCCCCCTCATCCAAATAATTTTTGTTGATTACCTATGCATCAAAGCTGTAACAACGATAATTATACATCCATTTAAGCTTTGATAGTCAACAATGAAGGAGAATGCAATTATGACATTTAAGAATAATATTCAGGTTAGCGTCCCGCCCGACCAGTGAAAAAGCTCCGACCCAACTTTTCTTTTATTTTTTTTTTATACAAATACTGTACCTTAGGCTTAGAAATCTTCTATTCCAAAAGAATTGATTGTCCACTTTTATATAAATAAACCTGTTATTACTAAATACTGTTGTACCAAATACAAATTTGTGTTAAACTTTATATTTGCGTTTAAATTTTAACATATTTTTAAATAGTCCCTACTATCGTTCTATCACTTCTATGCAATATTGATTGCTAGAAATCCTCGATATATTAAACATGCTCATATTTTATATCCCTGGGAACGAGGCTGATTTTATATAGGTGCAAAAAAAACCTTCCCTCCTACCCAAAAAAATTAGGGAAAAAGGACGCTAACCAAGTTTTTTTTTTACTTGGCCTAATCAGCAGGGTGCGATAAATCGCGTACCAACGTACCGGAGGTACGCCAAATTTATGGTCTGGTACTTCTTTGTTTTTAGGCAAGTACCACGTAGGTATGCGGAAATTTGCTGTTCGCGTACTTACATTTTCCTTCTAGCAATAACTAGCAAACCTGCCAAAGTATTCAAAACCATGCAAAGAACTTTAGCTGTACATGTAAATTCCACGCATCCGACATATTTTGGGATGAAAAAAGCGGTTACGTATTATTTTTATCGGTATTTTTTTCCGGTATTGGCTTTCTTTTTTTTCCAAATACCGCAACAGCCTAGTGCAGTCCATTAGCAACAATCTAAGTGCGGAAGCCCTGGGTACGAGGTTGTTATAGGCCAGTGACACAGACTCGTTCCCACGCAATTTGTGTGTGAATAAAAAATATTCAAAATCAAATGTCCACACCCAGGGTGATCTTGCAACATCAAAATGGCTCCCCGTCGGGCAAGCAAAGTTGTTCAAATCACCCGGGGCAGCCAGGAGAATTCACGGGGCCCTGCAGGGAAAATCTTCCCAGGAGGCCCCATGACATCATTATTTTTAAGCTAGACCCAACTAGACCTTAGCTAGACTGCATGTGGAGTTACTGTAAGAGGGCCCTCAATTTCAAAAATGCTCTCACCATTTTAAAGATCCTACTCAATTTTAGGCTCAGATTGCTCTCAAGTTGAGGCCCTATTAAGGTGGGAGCCCAGGGCAATTCCCCCCGCCCCCTCCCTCTCAGCAGCCCTGAAATCACCACCCCTTGCCCAGTTGCCCCCCGGGCTTACCGCCATTTGCAATTGAGCGTGCACCGTGCATTTTTTTCGAGTTGTTTTAGCATTGAAATTAACATGTAACTATGGGCGGAGCGACGTGTTACTAAGGCGACTCAAAATGTTTCTTTATCTACTATAAGCCGTGCGATTCGATTAGAATAACTCATATTGCTTCTGAACGATTCACAAACAACATTTTATATATGCAATTCTTCATAGATTACATGCTTGCCCAAGATCCGAACCACGTGAAGTTTTTCGATGAATCAGGGATCAGACAAACAAACTATCATTTTGTATAGAATTGTACTAGCAGCGAACATAAATTGGTTAGTCAAAACATAATTTGGAACGTCGAATATTTACGCTAATGGCCACTTAGTAGACAAACAAAATTGGTTTTAAAGCGACCAAACTTAGTAACATGAAACAAGGTGTGTATTATTTCGCACAAATAAACTGTAAACAAACCATCAAGTGAAACTAAAGTGTTTGTCTGAGTCTTGGCGGGGGTCAAATTGGCGGGGGACAAGCCGCCTTAGTAACACGTCGCTCCGCCCATAGTTACATGTTAATTTCAATGCTAAAACAACTAAAAAAAAATGCATGGTGCACGCTCAATTGCAAATGGCGGTATTAAACATTGATAGCAATGATGTAACTTGTGATGTTACTCTGAGTGTGCATCCATACCAGGCAAGCTGAAAAGTTAGCTTGGCCACGGTGGGAATCGAACCCGCGACCTTTGGGATGCTAGTCCAATGCTCTGCCAACTAGGTTCAAGTTGATATTTCGGAACTGAGTCTAGTTCCTTCGATATCAGTGTATTCTATGATATGATTATTTTGTGTGTGTTGGTGTTATGTACTCAGGTGAATATATGATGTTTGTGATGTTACTCTGAGTGTGCATCCACACCGGGCAAGCTGAAAAGTTAACTTCGCCACGGTGGGAATCGAACCCGCGACCAATGCCTGATATAAACCTGTGGGTCATTCCATGTCAAATCAACAAGAAAAAAATTAGAATGACACCAACCCATCTCAGATTTTAACCAAATGAAGGTATTAGTGAGATATGAAAGCCCACCAAATTTTGTGGCAATATCTCTATTGGTTCCCGAAATATCGGCTTTTCAATTTTTGGAGCAAATCGGGTGTCGGCTACAGTTGTCCAGTAAGTGGTAAGCAAAAATGTATGGTATTTCGACTGTCATTTTGTGTCGTTTTACCCTATGAGCAGGAAAACTTGCTCTTTACCATTTTAAGACATGCCAAATTGGAATATAATGTCAAAATGAACATCACGTGATGAGAAAAGCTCATTTTCTATGCTTAAAAAAGACAATAATTTGCCAAAACTGGAGCAAAGTATCATATTACATATTAAAAATTTCCCATGTTGACCATCTAGCACCAAAATTTTTTTTGGGTTATTCAGATGTATATATAACATAGATTACTTTCACCAAGTTTTGACTTGGTGTCTTCTCTACTTCCAGAGAAATATGCAAACAAAAATAATTAAGAATTTCTTTGAAATTGTGCTTTAATATGTTAGAAATGACAGTAGTATGCCATTACAATTATGCTTGTAAAAATCTCAAAGTATAGAAAAATATAATGGAAGGAAATAATTTGCATACATGAAGTACTAGGCCTTGCCTGAATGGGTGCTGCCTGATTAGCCTGCACTCAGGCACAGAGCACATGCAAATTTAATCATTTTCCAAAACAAAAAAGTTTCCTTCTCAAACTCAAACACACTTAAGAAAAAGATGTCTTCAACAGAAAAATTAAAGAATTGTTCGGTTGGAAACCACCTACAAGAAGACTGTCATTTGGGTGTTCATTCAAGGGTATCTGGATTGAAATCATTTAGTCTTTTAACACCTGAGCAGCTCAAGTTAATATCACTGAGAACTGGAATTTCAAACAGCCCTGAACTTGAAATTTGTCTACATCATATGAGCTGGCAATTGTAATTCGATATGCCCAGTACCAAAAAAGCTGCTGCAACCCATTTAAAAAACACAAAAAAAACAGTAAAAGGCTCCTTACGAGAAGTGTCTATAGACACTGCTGAAGAATTTAACAGTATAAACATTGTGATTATTCCTGGAAAGAAGATATGCCCATCTTGTCGGAAAGAACTTTCAAAAAAAATACAGGAATCAAACGAGGAGAACCAGCAAATCGCAGACATATCTGATTCGGAAACTGGGAACGAAAGTGACACAGAAACTATGTCTCTCGGAAGCCATGAGGAAATGCTGAGGCACAATCTTGATGCGAGTCTTGAAGTAATGGATCTGAGCCCTATCAAGTTGCACGGTGTTGCATCTCACTCCAAAGTCGTTTTAGGTAAGCGTAAATTGGAACAGTTTCGTGAGAAAATGAAAGATCAAGAAACTACCCTTCAGAAAAAAGTTGCAAAAGTTATTGATGTTATGCCAGAAGATCTAACACCATCAGAGAGCAATCAACCAGAAAATTACAAAGAGATGAAAGAAAAGGCAGATAATTTAGATAGACTTGTTGATCTTATGAAAAACAAGATAAAAATTTGACAATAGCTCCATCTTCTTGGTCTATTGAGAAAACTAAAACAGAATTTAATGTCTCTACTTACATGGTTAGGCAGGCAAGAAAAATAGCGAAAGAAAAGGGTATTTTAGAGTTGCCGGAACAAAAGAAAGGAAAAGTGCTGTCGGAAGAAACAAGAAGATGTGTCATTGACTTTTACTGTGATGATGAATATAGTAGACTAATGCCAGGCAAAAAGGATTTTGTTAGCATAGCAAGAAACACACACATGCAGAAAAGGCTTTTGCTTTGTGATATGAAAGAACTCTATGCTGAATTCAAAAAGACATTCCCACATCTAGAAGTTGGTTTTTCAAAGTTTTGTAGTTTGAGACCAAAATGGTGTGTGCTGGTTGGATGTTCAGGAACCCATTCTGTTTGTGTATGCACCATTCATCAAAATGTTGTTCTAATGCTTGGTGCTGTAAACCTTGATAAAGATCACCATGAACTCATGGACATGATTGTCTGCAGCAGGGATTCTAAAGAGTGTATGGTTCACCGCTGTCCTAACTGCCCAGTTGACACCGAAGCCTTGGAAAATTATTTGTTGCATGAACTCCAACCAGAAATTGACGAAGA